GTGTGTGTGTGTGTGTGTGTGTGTGAGAGAGAGAGAGAGAGAGAGAGAGAGAGAGAGAGAGAGAGAGAGAAAGAGAGAGAGAGAGGTATGTGTTTGTGTGTGAGCAAGGGTGTGCTTAACCCTGGCTATCTTAGAATTCACTGTTTAGACGAGGCTGACCTCAAACTCAGAGATGCTACTGCCCTTGCCTCCTGAGTGCTAGAAACTAAAGGTGTGTGCTACAGTGCTCTGCTCAGTTAAACAGGCTTTACACAGCCCTTGCAGAAATCACAGATGGAATGATGCAGATTTTTTTCTCTGATGCTGTCAGATATCTCTTCTACAAACACAGTGGTTGTTCTACCATATCCAGAGATTTTGAATATTGTTTGCAAAGTGATGTCAGACTAAAATCAAGTGAAAATCCTGTGGCATTCCACTGCTGCCAAAACATTCCTGCACAAGTGTTCATTCAGTACATGAAATGATATGCAACATGGTTGCGGGGCCAGTGATGGCTTTCTTGCCAGACTCTACCAAGGGTGACACAGTAAAATATTTTGAAGGAAGTAAGCCCAATTTGTCACCATTACCCAGTATTTGGTGTCATATTACAAAACAGACTTAAAACTTACTGGGCTTAAGGAGGTAGAAAACAGACAATCTTTCTAATTACCTGTTTGCATGGATGGTTGGTGTTAAGATTTTAAATTGGGCTGACTGTGGTGGCAGCAGAATACATTTGAGACCAGTCTGTGGCATTCTATAGAGCTAGTTCTAGGTCATTCAGGGCTATATAGTGAGACCCTGTCTGAAAAAGGAAAAAACCCCAAAAGCCTGGATTAGCAAACTTAATAGAAGAGATTGACATCATAGAATTTCTACCTCCACTTGAGTAGAGCATTCTGTGAGATAGTGAAAGTTTCAGTGGATGGCTTATTGTTCTCTGACCCAGCAGCCTCATGTATGTTAAATAAATCTTTGCACTCATTCTCAGATATAACAGTAGTTTTACTTTACTGCCTGACACTTCCTGGGATAGTTACTGTTCTGGAGGGATTCCTGCCTCTCTGTCTTTCCACAGTTGCTGAAATAGTTTATATCTGTCCTGTACTTGGATGCACCCTTCAGCCATAGAAAGTACCTCAGATTCTAAGACAGGAAATAGAGTTCTTACTGCTGTGAACTGAGAGCTAGCGAGAATAGGGAAGAACTGAGGCGTGAGAGCAGAAGTGACAGCCATAGCCCAGTGTGAGTGTACGCACTGCAGCTTTGGTTATGATGAAGATGAGAAATTTAGTAAGTGTATTTTACCACAACTTAAAATATTGGGGGTCTGGAGAGATGGCTCAGGGGTTAGAGCACTAGCTGCTCCTTCAGAGGACCCAGGTTCAGTACCCAGCACTCACATGGCAGCTCACAACTGTCTGTAACTCTAGTTCCAGGGGATCCAGCATTCTCACAGACATTCATGTAGACAAAATACCAATGCATACAAAATAAAAAAAATACAATGCTTTAAAAAAATTTTGGGGGGGGGCTGGAGAGATGGCTCAGGGGTTTAGAGCACTGACTGTTCTTCCAGAGGTTCTGAGTTCAATTCCCAGCAACCACATGGTGGCACACAACCCTCTGTAATGTGATCTGGTGCCCTCTTCTGGCATGCACTGTATACATGCTCAATAAATAAATAAATCTTTTAAAAAATGTTTTTTTTTTTTGAAGCCGGGATTGCACAGTTGCAGACCCAGCTACTGGAAAGATTTGAGACTAAAGGATCACTTGAGCCTGTAAGTTCAGTACCAGCCTGAGCAGGACTGTGTGCATACACATAAGCATGTTTGTGGAGGTCAGAGAACAACTTTTGGGAATTGGTTTTCTCTTCCACCATGTTGGTTCCCAGATGTCAAACTTGGGTCATTATGCTTGGCACCAAGTGTGTTTATCTCTTGTCCCTCGGTTTTTTGTTTTGTTTTGTTTTGTTTTTTAAGATTTGGAGCAAGCCAGGTGTGGGGGCACATGCTTTCTGTTAGTTCCAGCACTCGAGAGGCAGAGGCATGTGGATCTTTTTGAGTTTGAGGCCAGCCTGGTCTACACAGTGATACCCTGTCTTGAAAAAAAGAGAAAAATTTGAGGGTAAATGCATTGCAGTCCTTAAGAGTCTAAGCCGGTCCTCCACCTTTTCTCATTCTTTAAGATAGAAGTTGTAGGAGTCCTGTCTGCTGAGGAGTCCCTATCTGTGTGTGCTGAGTAGTGCTGTCTGATAGAAGTCTCCTCTCACATTCGTGCTAGGATTACAGTAATTTCTCTTCCACAGGGGGACAGACCAACCTCCGAATTCCTCAGGGCACTGTGGGCCAAGTCATGCTGGATGATAGGGCTTACCTTGTACGCTGGGAATATTCTTACAGCAGCTGGACTCTCTTCACCTGTGAGATTGAAATGCTACTCCACGTTGTCTCCACAGCAGGTAAAGTTAGTGCTTGGAGAGTGATGGATGGGAAGAGTGGGTGCGCTTGCAGGACTTGAAGGCTAGGGGGGCTGGAGAGATGCTCAGTGTTTAAGAGCACTGACTGTTCTTCCAGAGGACCCAGGATCAATTCCCAGCACCCAAATAGCAGCTCATAACTATCTGAAACTCCAGTTTCAGGGGATCTGATACTTTCACACAGAAATACATGCAGGTAAAATAGACATGCATGCATATGAAATGAAAATAAATAAATCCATTAATTAATAAAAACATTTGAAGGCTAGACCCAACTTTAAGATAAAATTCAAAGCTATCCAGCTCAGGGGTCTGTGGGGTTTGTTTATCTGGTTGTGCATTGCACTCAGAGTTCTGTGCTGAGTAGTCACAGCCATCTTTCCCCACAGATGTGATCCAGCACTGCCAGCGGGTGAAGCCCATCATTGATTTGGTTCACAAGGTCATTAGTACAGACTTGTCCATAGCAGACTGTCTGCTGCCCATCACATCCCGAATCTACATGCTGCTGCAGCGGTGAGTCCCTGGGGTTGGCAGGAGCTTTCCAGGAGCCTGGAAAGGTCCAGCTGAGGGCTTTTCTGTCCTTCAAAAGGAATGAGGAGAAAACTCGAAACTGCTTGTTATTTTTTACTGGGTGCAGTGCTTTGTTCTCCAACCAGGTTGACGACAGTGATCTCCCCTCCTGTGAATGTCATTGCTTCTTGTGTCAACTGCTTAACTGTCTTGGCTGCTCGGAATCCAGCAAAGGTGCGATGCCAAGTCTTTGTAACAGCTAAGGACTATCACATTTGACGTATATATCTGGAGGGATGTGGACACCTGATTTCTTCTTTTTCCTTCTCAGGTCTGGACTGACCTTCGTCACACAGGCTTTTTGCCATTTGTGGCCCACCCTGTCTCCAACATGTCTCAGATGATTAGGTGAGCCAGGTCCTAAGTGGGTAGACCTTACTTCCTATTATGAAACATTCCTAGTCTAGCCTGGCTTTATTCATTTTAAAGAAGCTTCTGTCTTCTGGGACTTGAGGGTGAGGATAAGGTGAAGAAGAGACTGGGTTCAGAACTGTTGTTATTGGAGCACACTGGTGATTCACAGTTTTTGTTTTGCTTTTGAGATAGGGTTTCACTGTGTAGCCCTGGCTGACCTGGAACTCCCTCTGTAGACCAGGCTGGCCTTGAACTCACAGAGATCCACCTGCCTCTGCCTCCCGAATCCTGGATGGTTCACAGTTTTTAAACTTTGGGGAATAGAATGAGGCTTTCCTTATCCAGCTGCAACCTCATTAGCTGTGTGGGCATCTACTTTTCAGCTGAGACATTCCTTCCAAGGGTGTTTGGATCCAGAGACTTGGTGTCCTATTCTCAAGCGCAGTCAGTGTGCTTTGCCTCCAATCTGAGGGTATGTGAGCTAGGCCAGTCACCCAGACACAGGCACCATCTTACTATCTGAGTATGCTCACTTTGCTCTTTGCTTAGATGACTGGTGTTTCCCCAATGGCTCATTTGATTTTTCACTCTAAACCTCTTGGAGTTGTACATCAATAAAACATGATCTTAAATTATTCCCTGGCTATAAAATTGCCTGCATTTGATTATTTCCCTTTGAAGAGCTTTTGTGTTTTATGCTGGAGCCATCTAGACAATAACAAGAATGCTGTATAATCAGTTTATTAACCTTGAATGTTTCTCATCTTTTTATCCCTCTGCCTTTGTCTGTTTCTAGTGCGGAAGGAATGAATGCTGGAGGGTATGGCAACCTTCTGATGAACAGTGAACAGCCCCAGGGCGAGTATGGAGTCACAGTTGCCTTTCTGCGCTTGGTCACCACTCTTGTCAAGGTACTATCTGATCAGATAATTCTGTAACAGTTCTCCCATTACCTGCTACTGTAGTCTCGCTCTCTTTTTGTTTGTTTGTTTGTTTTTTGTTTTTTTGAGACAGGGTTTCTCTGGCTTTGGAGGCTGTCCTGGAACTAGCTCTTGTAGACCAGGCTGGTCTTGAACTCACAGAGATCCTCCTGCCTCTGCCTCCCGAGTGCTGGGATTAAAGGCTTGTGCCACCACTGTCCAGCTTGTAGTCTTCTTAACAATATGCAGGATGGCTGTTTTGAAGTTATGGACCCTCAGTTTCTTTGTATTGAGAGTCTGTGCCCCTTTGTTCCTTGATGGTATGAGTTTGTTTAGTAATCAGAAGGCTTGTTATGAAGGTTGAGAACTATGTGGCTACTGCAATACATGCTGAGCTATTTTATTTTATTTGCTTATTTGAGTTTTTCAAGACAGGGTTTCTCTCTGTATCCCTGGCTGCCTTGAACTCACTGAAATCTGCCTGCCTCTGCCTCCTGAGTACCTGGGATTAAAGGTGTGCGCCACCATGCTTGACAAAAATTTTTATGTTTTTATGTTATGTATATGAATGCTCTGCATGTACACCTGCATACCAGAAAAGGGCGCCAGATCTCATTCCAGATGGTTGTGAGCCACCATGTGGTTGCTGGGAATTGAACTCAGGACGTCTGGAAGAGCAGCCAGTGCTCTGAACCTCTTAGCCAGCTCTCTCCAGCTCTGTTAAGCTATTTTAACTATCATCTCTGTGTGCTTTATATCTTGTCCTAGTGTACACCTGTATATACGCTTTGCAAGTCTAGTTTTAGGTTGTCATCGGGGGTATGTGCCTGTATGTAACCTCCACAGGTCTAGTTTTATGGTCTAGTGTTTACCACATAGTAGATACTTTGACATTTCTTACTTGGTTCCCTTACTTCTTTATTAAGTAGATTATGAACTGAAAAAAATAGTCAATTAATGGATTATGGCTCTGAAACACTAATGTATACTTAGGAACAAGTAAGTATTTTGAAATTGGATAGAAGTAAAGTGACGTTTGAAGTTCTGCACTTAATACTTGAATTTCTTTGATATTGCGCAATTCAGACTTACTGAGAGTTTCTATAGAATAGCAGTAGTATATGGCCACTACCTGATGAGTTTAGAAGCTCACACATGGGGAGCATTCAGTAGCCAGCTTGATGTCCCCAGACTGTAATCCTAGCTTCTAAAGAGCCACACAAAAAGATGACAAGTTCGGGGCTGGAGAGATGGCTCAGAGGTTAAGCCACCTACTGCTCTTCCAGTGGTCCTGAGTTCAATTCCCAGCAACTACATGGTGGCTCAAAACCATCTGTTATGAGATCTGGTGCCCTCTTCTGGTGTGCAGATATACATGGAAGCAGAATGTTGTATGCATAATAAATAAATAAAATCTTTAAAAATAAAAAAGATGACAAGTTCAAGGTCTGCTTGGGCTGCAGTGTAATATCAAGGCCAAGCCTGCAGAATGTAGTTCAGTGGTATAGTACTTGTTTATATAGATGAGGACCTGGGTTTAATCCAACTATTACTGCACATACACAAAAACTACTCAATACATTGCATATATCCTTCCTGTAGGAAGAAGGCTTGGAAAGAAATTATTGTGTAGAGTTAAAGTGGGCAGTCTTCAGTTTTAAATATAGAAACTGGAATTAATCCGTACTATGATATGAGAGAATTTGGGTATCAGTACTCCACTCTGTTTCATGATAGTTGAGCTTTGTGTGTGGGTGAGAAATCTTTGGTGGTGAATAGCTTTCGTTGTTGTTGACAGTTCTGCATCTTTGATGATTAGGGTACCTCTCTCCTCTCAGATTAACTCTCTTCCTGCTCCTTCATGTTACCTTGCCTTTTTAGTTTTACCTGTTCACAAAATAGGTTCAGTTGATGTTGCCTTTTATTGTTGATCAGTGTGTTCCTAGTTCTCTTTTGGACCTGTCCGCACTTTTGAGGTTAAATCTTGAGTAATAAAAGATCCTTTTTTACATGGCCAAGGGCTCACAGAATGCTTTCCCATAGGGTCAGCTTGGCAGTACCCAGAGCCAAGGCCTGGTACCCTGTGTGATGTTCGTGTTGAAGGAGATGCTTCCCAGCTACCACAAATGGCGCTACAACTCTCATGGCGTGCGGGAACTGATTGGTAAGGCAGAGTGGGCTGAACACCCTAGAGTTCCTAGCTCCTTGAAGCTCTCCTCCTCCCTTCTTTGATGAGGATGGTCAATACAGTGCTACATCATTTCATGTCTTTTCTGGAGTCTAGGTTGCCTAATTCTGGAGCTGATTCATGCAATACTGAACCTGTGCCAAGAGACAGACCTGCATAGCAGGTAATCTGGGGGCTCAGCAGGGGAAATCACTGTGTATTGGTCGTTTCAAGTCCCCTCATCTCTTCCCAACATCTCACCTTAGTTGAATTCTGCCTTAGCTAGGATTTCTACTGCTGTGATAAAACACCATGTCCAAAAGCACCTTGGGGAGGAAAGTCAGAGCAGGAACGTGAAGGCAGGAGCTGATGTAAAGTCTATGGAGGAACACTGCTTACTGACTTGCTCATCTTTCTTATACACTCCAGGTTCACCTGCCCAGGGATGGTACCCATAATGGGCTGTGCCCTTCCACATTAACTACTAATTAAGAAAATACCCCTTAGTCAGTTTGGTGGGGACATTTTCTCAATTGAAGCTCCTTCTTCTCAATTGACTAGCTTTTGTCAAGTTGACATAAAAATTAACACAAACCCAAAGCTCATTCTTCTCCTATTATGATTTACTGTCCTCTGACTCAGTTGTCATTTTTCCGTGTGGACAGAAAAGGACAGAAAAGGACAGATGTATGTGCACACATAATCATTTGCTATGATCATTATAAAAAAAAAATGATGCTTGTCCATTAGAAATCACCCAGGAACCACCATCAATTATAAAGCTGACATTTCTGAAGTGGCCAACTTAGTGTTTATGTTTTTTAAAATATTTTATTTATTATGTATACAACATTCTGCTTCCATGTATAGCTGCACACTAGAAGAGGGCACCAGATCTCTTAACGGATGGTTGTGAGCCACCATGTGGGAATTGCTGAACTCAGGACCTCTGGAAGAGCAGTCGGTGCTCTTAACCTCTGAGCCATCTCTCCAGCACTCCATTAGAAAATCTTAATGTGGTGCAACTTTTCCCTATTAAATACCCTTGTATTTCTACTTGGCTCCGTATTGGTAATTTCCCACTTTAATGTGCCTCCTCAGAGGTGCCTATTACCAAGTCAGTACAGATTCTAGTCTTTTCTATTCCATGAGTTCGATGCTCTGTAGCTTGATTCTGTGCCCTCTTTTGGGGGCGGGGGGCGTGTGAGGGGTTTTGAGACAGAGTTTATCTGTATTGCTTTGGAGCCTGTCCTGGAACTCGCTCCATAGACCAGGCTGGCTTCGAACTTACAGAGATCTGCCTGCCTCTTCCTCCTGAGTGCTGGGATTAAAGGCATGCACCACCACCTCCCGGCTGTGCCCTCCTATCTTCAGGGTGGTTGGACAATCAATGCCTAATATGAATTCCTTGCTCCTGTCTTACATACCTCCCTAATGCTGGGATTAAAGGCATGTGATCCCAGGTGCTGAGGTCATCTGTGTGAGCTGTTTCTCTTTCGGACTGGATCACTCTTGTGTAGATCTGGGTGGTCTTAGACTCACAGATTAAAGATGTATGCCTGGCTTCTATGGCTTGTGGCTGACTTTGCTTTCTGAATCTCAGTCAAGCTTTAATAAATCATAAATAATATATCACTACACTTCCTTATTGTCATTCTTCCTTAAGTGTCATGAATGGGTTATTCCTGAATTATTTTACTAAATACATTCATTAATTGATGGGTGTTTACTTTACTTTTCAGGATGGTACTTAGGACCAAGTCTGAGAATGGGATTCAGAATATCTTCCTTTTGCAGATATCTCATCTACCTCACCTATGTCCAGTTGGCTAGGCACACCAAGGTAAGAGCTCCAAAGGTCCTACTAATTGAGAATCCTCTGTCTTCCAGCCACACGCCCAGCCTTCCTTCCCTCTGCATCTGCAGCCTGGCATATACAGAAGCTGGACAAACAGTCATCAGTATCATGGGGATTGGTGTGGACACCATTGACATGGTGATGGCTGCTCAACCCCGCAGGTAGGGCCTCCTCTGTTCCTGCCCCATTTCTAGAGTGTGTGTGTGTGTATCAATAATATAAATACAACTTGTTTAGTATGTTTGGTGTTGCTTATATAATTTCAAGCCTGCCTAATTGGTATTGAATAATCAGTTAAGGGGCTAATCTTTGGAAAAGACTGTAATAATAAGTCGTTACTCCAAAGCCGCACAAGCCCCTCCGTCACGTGGGCGCTTTCCGCCAGGCCGCCTAAGTTCCGCACACCACCATGTTAAGGTCCCAAGTAGCACAGAGACTTATTAGGTACAAATGCTGCTTGGCCAATGACTAGGATTTCTCATCTGCTAGTTCAGTCTTAATTATCATAAATCTATATATTTTATAAGACTTATCTTACGAGGATGCCTTCTGCTGGTGCCCTCTCTTGCTGGCAGATCACATGGCGGCTCCAGAGCAGAAACCAGAAGGAAAAGCACTAGAAAGGAACGACTTCCTTCTTGCTCTTCCTTATATGAGTCTGCCTGCTATGTCATGTCCTGTCTGGATCACCACTTCTTTACTACATTTCCCAGAATCCTCCTTTACTCCTAGTCCTGCCTAACTTGCTGCCTCATTGGCCAAACAGTACTTTACTTATTATCCAATAAGACAAACACATACACAGAAGCACTTCCCCCATCAAAAGACTATTTCTCCTGCTCTTAACATACCTTACTTACTTGTAGTTCTTTGTTTAAGCATGGAGCCCTGTGAGATTTCCCCCTTCCCTTCCTTAGCATGTCTATTGGTGTGGTATTCCTTCAGGTCTTGTTTAAGCAGCCATATTGTTAGGGTGAAGCTTCATTTCATTTCTTTAATACACAGTATCAAAACTGCTTTCCTGGCCCTTGCAGATTCCTTTTAAAAAAAATTATTTTGTATTTCCTAGGCTGTAGCTAGTGTCTACTGATTAGCCTCTTCTCTTTCCTAATCTGGATTTGGGCCCCTAGAAACTAGTGGAGAGTCTTGATTCATGAAAATACACATGCTATGAGTGAAACCGTGTTGTCTAAATTAACTGTGATTTCCATTTGCACCCTAGTGATGGGCCAGAAGGTCAGGGACAGGGGCAACTGCTGATCAAGACAGTGAAACTGGCATTCTCTGTCACCAATAATGTTATTCGGCTGAAACCTCCTTCTAATGTGGTGTCCCCGCTAGAACAGGCTCTCACACAGCATGGTATGTATTTCTCTTCCTCAGCTACATTACTGCCTATAAAGACATATTTTATGCCCTATGTTTGGACATTGGGAGATTCCCTAGACTTGAAAACAAGGGGACTGAATCATACTGTATTCTGGCCTACTGTTGACAACATAGGAAGATGGCTGGAGGCTGGAATCAGATTTCCTTTCTTCAAATTTAAGTTTTGGCCAGCTGTGTGAAAACCTCAGGCATATTCATGTTTTACCTTGGACTTCTCATCCAGCATGGCATAATAGTAAATGCCAGTATCCTTCGGAGACTGAGGCAGGAATAAAAGGCCAGCGAGGACTACCTAACAGGTTGAGGCAGAGGCACCAAAAAATGATTTCAAAGACAGCAAGGGCAAAACAGAAAACCCTTGTCTTAAAAAAAAGAAAAAGAAAAAGGGGGGGGAGGGAGGGAGGGAGGGAGGGAGGAAGGGAATAGATAACTGAACAACTGCATTGACAACACACAAAGGAGATAGAAAGTGTGCCTCCCCTGTGCCTATAATTCCATCACTCCAGAGTTAGAAGGGCCAGAGCCAACTGCTGGCCAAGACAGTGAAGCTAGCATTCGCTGTCACCAGCCCCTGACAGCCTGGTGTATATAACAAGACCTCTCAAAAGAAACAAAAAAACTTCCAAAACACATTGGCTCATATCACAATGTGACTTTAAATTGGTTTAATCTTTGGCTCATTCTCATTTTTTAGTAATGTTTTATATCATGTCTAAGACCATTTATTTAATTTTTTTTTTTTTTCCATTTGCAATGTCAGA